AACACAAAGGCTCGAACTTTGGCATTCCTCGTGCTTAGCTTTGCTTTGGCTGCTACTAAACTAGTAGTGTACAAAAAGAAAACAAACAGGTGATTTTCGTTGTCATTCTTTTTGTTGTGGCTTTGTCTATCGTGTAAATTGTAGCTTTCTTTTTTCCTTTTTTTGTCCAGATTGATCACTAAAAACCAATGTTGCTTTGTTGTTTTTGGACTTTCTACAATCTCTCCATGTTTTGCTAGTGGTTTTGTCTCTGTTTAGTTCTTTGATTGTTTCTTATTAGTCTCTTGCTTTGACTTTAATTCCTAAAAATTGATGATATTCAAACTGGTTTTGACGTTTTGCTTGTCTGAATGACAAAATCAGAGATTGTTAGAAATTTTGGATTTTTCTTCCGAATCATTTTGTAAACGCTAAACCCTAAATCTCATTTCTGTAACAAGGTGGTTCCTTTTTGTTTAGGTTTTCTATGGACAATGCCGCTGCTACTAAAACATCAATTCCCTCTTCGAATCTATCAGAACTCATCTCTAGATTCGCTAAAGTCTGTAAATTTAGATCCATTGGTGTGTTTTCTGACCAGAAACCGATTTGTGAAGTTGAAATCTTTGAGGATGATAAAGCCAAGGAAACTGAAATTGGCTTAAGTAATTGCAAACCCTCGAGAAAGATTCGAAATTTTCGTTTGGATGATGATGATGAGATTTCGAAGCTGTTCGACATTGTTTCAACGCTTAAGCTCGCTTATCTTGATTTTCAACAAGCTCATTTGCCTTATGATCCAGACAAGATCATAGAAGCAGACAAACTCGTCGTGTCTCAGCTCGAGGCCTTACGCAAAATCAAGCGTCTCTACCTCAAAACGAAACTACTCAGTGCGAAAACCGAGCTTGTTGATGATGCATCGTCTTGTTTGGATCGATTGAGAGATGAAATTGAAGTGAATGAGAAGCAATTGGAGAAACTCAAAGCACAAGTGGAAACAAAGGAGAATGAGATTCACTCTCTGAAGGAGAAACTAGACTGTTTGTTTGATGAGAATAGGAAACTCAAAGAGAGGATTGTAAGTGTTTCTTCGTTTGAATTCGCGTTTAGTGCTGCTTCTAAGTCGATTCACGACTTTGCAAAGCCATTAATCACTCTGATGAAAGCAACAGATTGGAATTTGGACAAAGCAGTGGATTCAATTGTTGGAAAAGTACGATATGCTAAACACTCAGATAAGAAGTATGCTTTTGAGTCATACATTGTCCGGAGAATGTTTCATGGCATCAAGCTTAATCCGTGTGATGTGACCGAACTGATGAGGTTTGATGATCCACTGGACGCGTTAACAGCGTATCCAGATTCCGCGTTTTCAAGATTCTGCGGTCAGAAGTATCTTCTAGTTGTTCATCCGTCGATGGAGGCTTCCTTCTTCGGGAATTTGGATATGAGGGCTCTAGTTTTGCTCGGTAAGCATCCAAGAACCATGTTTTATCGAATCTTTGCGAGAATGGCAAAGTGGGTATGGATTCTTGGATCGTTTGCAGCATCCTTAGATCTCAAAGCTAACATCTTTGTGGTCAGAAGAGGAACCAGATTCTCTAGTGTCTACATGGAATCTGTAGTGGATGATGAAAAAGAAGAAAGACAAGGCGATTTAAGCGTTGAGTTCATCACAATGCCTGGGTTTAAAATTGGAGATACAGTGGTTAAATCTCATGTTTATCTTTCGAAAACATAAGTGTAGAAAAGAATCGCTCTGCATATTCGATTATTTCGAAATTTTCAGGTCAAGCAAGATCTCTGCTTTTTTGAAAGTTCTATAGGTAAAGAAAATGATATCTCTGGTCTTTATTATTGTTCACATTCTAGTTCCAATCTATAGTTAGTATATCCAAGTTTCTTCGTTACGAAAACCCGAAAAAAATACAAATCTTTATAGTCTTCACACACTTCAGTGTCCAGTTCGAACATAGAAACCTTAAGATAGTGTATTCAATGATTGCAAGAACCGTAAATCGTGTTTGTTTTTGGTTGAAAAAGGAAGATGAAAACTTTTGTTTTTGTTTTTGATCAATTTTGATATGTTCATTCACTTGAAAACAGGTCTCTGCAGAGCTCACCATAGAATCTGGAGACGAGTTCAATAAAGACAGGGCTCTTAAGATTCTTCCAACAGAAGAGAAGCTCCTCAATGTCCATTAAGTCATCCATTTTCCCTTCTTCAACAATCAGATGAATCAGATAGTTCTCAAAGCTTCTGCAAGCATCTTCCACAACATTGTCTTCGAACGCATCTCTTTGACTCAGCGATTTCTTGGTCCGTGCAGCGTAAGCAGGCGTCGTGGTGGGTGAAGTGAACAGCTTCTTGGCTGATTGCATAAACTTCAAAGAATCATCATCCTTCACACTAACTGGACAATAAAGAGATCAAAAAGCTTATAAATTTCCATGTCAAACTCATAATAGAACATTTTTATTCGACATTATGGTAGAGAAATTGTCTTACAAGAAGAGCTTCTAGGTTTGGTGTTGTGGCTCATCTTCTGGTTCTTGTTTGTGCTGAGAAAACAGAGACAAGAAAGCAAAGAGGAACAACAACAGATTGGCTTCTTGGT